ATTTTGGAGAAATCTCACCACTGGTTCTGCTGATAAAACTAAGCAATATATTATGGCTACTCACATACACATGGATTGTACACAGTAACCTAGATGATTAGTGTCAAGCAGAGGTATTTTTGCAAAACGAAAACTATGTTTTAATAAAATATTTTGGAAATGCAAATCACAAGTGTCCGATGTAAATTGGCACCTGAAAAGTCCTATTTAAAATTAATTTGTCTATATGATTATATGAGGGATGTGGTGCCTTGATTACCCATCAATCCAAATTATATATTAACCCCTTCATGACTGAGCTTGTTTTTGGTTTCTGTCCGTAAATGACTGACACACTTTTGACATTTTTGCTGTGTGATTCTTCCACGTCAGTAATATACTTTTTTACAAAGTGCACCCACACATATTATATATTGTTTTTTAGAGGACAGATAGGGCTATATATTTATATCACATATGTGTGTCTAACGCCTCAATTAGGACAAATAAAATATAAAAAAAAAGAAGAACGTAAAAAAAACACTTTTTTCCCAGTTTGATTTGTAGTATTTTTTTAACAAAACCAGCACAGCTAAAAAAAAATGCAATACATACATTCATTTGTCCCTTATTTTTAATTTTTTTTACACTTTTCACTATTTTTTTTAATTTATTTACACTTTTCACTTTTTTTATACTGACAAATTTTATTTATTTAATTATATCAGGCAGTCATTGTGAATTAATCTCACTATTACTGCTTGATAAATTAATACATTTTTTTTATTATCAGGCTGCTTCAAACTTCAGAACAGCCGATAATAAGTTAGTGACACTGATCCTGCAGCAGTTCAGCATTCAGCTGTCACTGAATGTTTCAGAAAACTGAAACATTCTACTTTCAAGGATACATTATGTGTCTATTACATTACATTTTGTATCTATTCTTGAAAGTCAAAAGATTAAAAAAAAAAAAAAAGCCAGTATAGCTTGAGAGAGATATCTCTCGATCTATAAGAGCTGTCAGAATGCCGGCTTTTGGCATGTGTGTCCGCTCTGCTGTGACTCTCAGACACCCGATATTAAGGTATCGGGTGTCTGAAAAAAGGTTAACCCTTTCAGTAATGGATCTCTAGATAGTTAGACATCCATTACTGAATGGTAACCGCTGATTCTCAGCGGTTAGCAGCCTTCTAGTGCAGCAAATAACTCGTCACGTACAGTGTACGTGACGAGTCATTTGGTCCCTTTGTGGCTGGACGTACAGTGTACGTCTCCCGTCACGAACGGGTTAAATATAAGCAGAAAAAAGCACATGAGTGGAACACACTCATTTCTTAAAAACAGAGGATGGTAAGAATGTGCAAAAAATAAAAAAACCACCCAAATCCTTGCGATGTACATATATTTCACCTGAATATTTTGCTGCCCTCAACAAAATTAAACTTTGAAACTTGACACAGGCTAGACATTTTTTCACATGCTTTGTATAGAGGTCACAAGAGTGTTGAGAGTGGTTGTTGGTCAAGTTTTTCCCATTGGCGCCCCAATGGGAAAGGCTTGACCAATAACCACTCTCAACACACTGGATGCTGGAGCCCCGAAAAATGCTGCCAATGGCCTTTTAGTTAGGGAAAGGGGGAAAAAAAAAAAAAAATTTAGAGGGTTAACCTCCTTAGCAGGGACAGAGACAGCAATAAAAAAAATTTGAGAAGTGTTTGAACACTTCCCCTCACTATCAACAAAAAAAAAAAAAAAAAAAAGTATTGTGTTTGTGTACACTT